AAAAAAAAAAAAAAAAAAAAAAAGAATTTATTACTATTGTCAATTGTCACTCATCCAGAACTACTTACAATTCATTTTGCAGCCCATGCTAGCAGAACTTCTAATTCACTGGGTAGCAGTCTATACTTTTACAGCTAAAGAACACATTTAATTTCTTCCTTTTTGGCCAATACTGATAAAGTGCAAAACTCACCTTATTATCTCTGTAGATCTGCTCTCACAGAAAATTACAATTCAGACACCAACAACATTCTCTAGATAAAAGGCTTCTGCAATTCAGGATGTTGTCTGTCCCTCTCAAAAGCCAGGGAATGTGGTGTTCTAACTCAGTCTAAACACCACGGATGATTCAGATTGAGTTGTGATTACAGCTGTGGATTGGAAGCTTCAGATAAAGATTAAGAGATGGAGTTTTACCATGTGCATGGTTTCAGTGGGCCCAGCTGTGTTAAATAACTTGCAAAAAAGCCTAACAGTGAGTGAGGAGCACCTGTAGTTCAGAAGAACTCACAATAAAACAGTTTTGTACTACAATTGTTAAGCAAGTTTTACCTAAAGCTGAACCACAACACCCAATCACCCAAAGTGTTGACTTTTTGTTGTTCTACCAGTACCTGTTTCATTAAAGGGTATAAATTTAATCATACTGGTGTTCCCTGATTTAATTTGCAAAGGATTAGTTTGGTTTTCTTTCTTCTTAAACTCTCTAAGATTTTATGGTGCCCTAAGGAGTAACTAAAAAGCATTCAGACTTGTTAAGCCTCTGGCAGATGTTCTTTAATAATATAATTATTCTTGGTCTTTTTAGAGACTAGGCAATTGGGTCTATATTTTGTGCTCTGGTATGCAGTCTTTCTTAGAATTTAACTCTCTTGCTTTATGGAGTTCCCGTGTTGATAATCAACACCTTAATTGTTGCCCATTATGTTTTTGATTTTTACAAGCATAGCCACACTGTATTGACAAATTCCTGCAGATATATCAGTTGCCTTCACCTCTTCTTCCCTTATGTTACCATGCTACTGCCTGTTCAGAAACAGGAATCATTTCTGATAGCACGAGCATCACATGAAGATGTAGCTCACAAGAATAGGTCTATAAGTTTGGGGAGGAAGTGTGGCAGACACACAGGACAAGAGAAACCTGATAAAGCCAAGTATACCAAGATGGCAAAGATGAAAAGACACATAACTACATGGTCTGCTCTTGTATTTTTGCCAGAACCATAAGTTTCTCTTCCCAAGAAAAAAAGAACAATAGAAATAGAAACCATGCTGTGAGTAAGCTTCAAATTCAGGCAAAGCATACAGTTGCCCATCTGACAGAAGGTAGTAAATTGAACTCCAGTCTTGACCTGCAGGACACTTATGCATGCCACTCAGAGATTTAGAAGCGAGGAACACCTACCCCTTGCTTTAGGACCACAGCAGGGCGAGGCAGGTGTTCCAGGTATCCGCCTCTCCCTTTGCCTCTGCAAACTTGTTAGTGTTTGTGTTCAAAGCCCTCAGAGATGCTCTGCTTCTGAAAGTAGGTGTTGCTAGGGTTTTATGGGTACTGGGAAATGTTTCCTAGCTCTGGGCATCTTAATTCCAACTGTGTCCTACAGACAAAGGAAGAGATATTGTTGGCTTCTCCCCTGTGACCTTTTTGGGTTTGCTTAATTCAACAACCCGCTCAGCTCAGTAGGGAAGCAGGGATGGAGTGATTAGTACCATTACTGCCGAAGCATCACCCTTTATGTTCCTCTCTCCTCCCTGTTTTTCTTACTTACACCAGTTTCTCACATTCTTTGTCTTCAGCTTTCATTACAGCTAAAAGGCTTGGTGGCTCATAAGGAGGTTTAGTATGTCTGTCTCATCCTGAGTCCTAAAAGTGAAAAGTAAATTGCAGAGAAGTTAGCAAATTAGAGAGGCCTTGATATTAGCTCTAATTAAAAAAAAAAAAAAAGAAAAAAAAGAAAAAAAAACAAACCTAACTCTTCTACTAATTAATTAGCTGGGGATCCTTAGAAACATGAGGAAAGGAAAGTTTTTCTTTGGGGTAAAATGCTGGACTCTGCAGCATTTCATTACAAAAACCAAATATGAACTTAGGAGGAATTCATTGCCAGGTGTATTTGAAAAGGATTGTAGGCACCCAGGGAATGTTTCTGTTTGTTGGTTTAATCTGCATCCAATTTCCTCCTAAATCTTAAAGCTCTTCAGCGCAGTCTTCTCACACAATGGGGAGTGTGATGCAAGCCTTGCACATAATTTTTTTCCCCGGCTCAGGCTTTGAGCTGGCTACCAGGGGTAATGGAATATGGAGCTCTCACGTGTTCCGCTATTTCCAACTGAACTAGGAGATGAGAGACTGAAAGAAGTTACTCTTTTGTCTCTCTGTGTTCTGTGTCACTGGGGTTTCAGTTTCTCCTTTAATGCTGGAGAAAACCCTGTGAAGTAGCACCATCTGCCCTGTCTCCATAGTCTGCCCCAGCACTGGTGAGTATCAAAGATAAGATGCTGCACTGGATGGTCCTAACAACGACTGCTGTTATGTTTTTTATGCTTTTCTGAAATGTCAGTAGATCATAACCACCTCACATTGCCACAGCCACCCTTAAATTATACTTCTGGTTGATCTCAGTAGAAAGGCCAAAGCCTGATATTCTTCCCATCATAAGAAATGCAACTGGACTGCTTACCTCAGTGAAAGTTAGGTCTTAACACAGAAAAAAGTAGAATGAAAAACATAAAGTGTTTTCTCCTTCTCCAAGGTTATCTTCTGGATCAGAATCAGGTTTTTCAGGGTACAATAAACACCATCTGCTTTTTCTGCTACCCGAGAGAAACAAAAGAATACTGGTGCTGGTCACAGGAGCAACAACTCCTTATTCACCAGCATCACTCCTGAGAGGCTGGCACAGGAATCAGCACTTGGTTTCTGTGTCAGCTGTAATACCATAAAACATGGGCAGCCAAAAACCCCTGCAGGAATATTTATACATTGGGTAAGAAGGAAATATCATTAACCAAACTTTATCCCTGGGTCTATAAAAAGAAACTATATTTCTACCAGTAAGATTTACACATATAGCTCCAAGGGCAAAATAAAGCTGCTAGATAGCATTTTACTGTAGAGCTGTGATTATTCACATTGTTATACCCAAATAATTGTAGATTAACATATTGTAAAACTGTGCAGTGAGTAGAGTAAATCCTACTTTCCAGCCAGAACAATTCCACACTAAGATGCTTCCTGATGAATACATAAGCTAGTTCTGCAGTCAATGAAACTGTGACATGATGCTGAAATATCAGCCCAGAGTCTTTTGGACAGCATGCAGAAGACATGCAGTGGCTTATTTACTTGGTACTCAATATTCTTTTGTTATGAAGCTCATTTTGTATTTCTTTCCAATTAGATGGGAAAGGTTCACACAAAGTCCAATCTGTGTTTAAATTACGTTATCTACATGTTCATAGGATTTTTTTTTTTTTTTGGCCATTTATGATGCTAACTGCAGGTGTCAAAGAGCCAGGCTCTGGCATTCATCATGAGTCTGCACACAAGAGACCAGTTTCTGAGCTCAGCTGTACAGTATAAATAGCAAAAGCTATTACCTGTCTCAAACCCAAAACTTTCCCATAATAAGGAACCAACGGCCTTTGTTCACCAGACTCTGCCACAGCTCCTTAATCTGACACTCGGAATGGCAGAAAACAGAATGACCCTGATGGTGTACACAAAATATCAGCTGGTGCTTAGGGTAAATCTTGCTTCTAATGAACTTGATGGCAGAATTCCCACTGATTGCAATGGGAGCTGACACAGGCAGTGACAGCTGCGTGTAACCCAGAGCAGGCTGGTAACAGCCCTTCAGCTCATTGTACCTCTCTGGAAACACACAGGGGCTTTCACAAGTCCTTTTGTCCACTCCAGCAACTCGGAGATTTCAAATTACCCCAAGGCTAATGCTGAGGAGTACAGCTACAACTGATTGTGCTTCTCTGCTGTATAAGAAAAATAAAAATGAAATGTTCTTTCAAGACTCTCCCTCAGATTAGTATTTCATGAACTTTCTAGACTGCTAAAATTCTAAAAGTTATTAGCATGGCCAAAATCGGCTCAATTTAAAATGTTTTGCAATGCAGTTTAAAAATAAAGGGAAACATTAATTTTCAGTTAAACAGAAAGTAATTTTTAACTTAAATTTTTACATATAATATATGTAAATATATATATATTTATATATAAAATACATAAATAATTTTTATATATTATCTATATATATTAAACTTTTTCATATTTGACATAAGATAACTGGGACACTGCTTATAAAGTCATTGAAACTTCATTTCCCAAAAACTGTTTTAAGAAAAAAAAAACAAACAAAAAAACAACCTAGCTCTTTATTTGTAGATTCGACCCTTGGATAGCATGAGGCTGGCAGAATGGCTTACAAGCTGCTTCTGGACTCCTTTCCAAAACAAGTGGCTTGTGGTGATCTAAAAACATCTCAAGATGAAAGAGAAATAGGTTTAGTAACCCCAGCTGACAGAATTGCTCCTGCTGTCATGCAGCTACTGGACTCTAATCTGAGGGGCAGTTCAGGGCTCCTGGGATGAAACAGATACTGAGAATAGATTTGCCTTTCAGTGCTTCCCCCTCTGTTGCATTTGCACAGAGCAATATTCAGAATTTCCTCCTTGCTCTTGTTTTTTCCTGCCAGCAAAGTGGTTTAGTACTGCTATACTGAGTCCCACCACTCCATAGGGTTACCCAATTATGCCTCCAAAACATGAATTTTATCTCCTTCTCCTACTGTACCTTTGCCTTTATAGCCCATTTCACAGGTGTCTGGTCAGTGGGAAGGACAAGGCCAGAACCTCCCGTTTTCTTTGAAGAGGGTAGCACAAAGCCATCCAATTAAACCCCCTTGATTTAATTACCCGCTCTACGAGGGAAGCTGTCACACAGGTTCTGCTCCTGCTACTCTGTTTCGGTTGCTACTTGGGGCCGCTGAACCGGCAGTGTCGGACGTGCCTCCCAGGCAGTTCTGGCCTGCTGAGATCTTTTTTTCTGACGCCCCGAGAAGCACTGATGAGTTTTCACACCCCTGCGGCAGCGCCACCTGTCTCCTTGGCAGCCAAAAACGCCACTGCACCGCTCGGCCGCCCTCCAGTCCCGCGGCTTGGGGAGCCTTTCCTTGGCACGTCCCTGTCAACAGGTGTGAGGATGCTCCAAGAGGCCCGCGGTAGCAGCCTGAGAGACGCTAACTGCTCAAAGGAGCTGTTCTTCCCGGAGAAGTGACGCTTGCATTGTCATGCAGGCCGCCGATCGTTGCCTGGCACCTCCGTGCTCAAGGCGGGAGTCCAAACAACTTGCGACGAGGCACTTTGCCATCTCAGCAGATGGACATGAGCATAAGCAGCTTAGGGACTAAAGTCTGCATATCAAGCACAGGCATGGAGGGCATGATTCCCGGCCAAGAACGCTGCCACTGCTGTTTATCTTCTGCTTACCGACCTGGAGTTGTTTATCTTCTCTTCCCAACCCGGAGTTCAGGGAATATGTCACCGCTAATTAAGACCTGGGCTCGACTCAGTTTCGAAATCAGAGAACACGACTTGCGCAAAACAAGTGTCTGTCTGGCTTGAATTGAGCCACAGGTCCTAAGAGAGGGTGAGGGAGTTATCAGGATGAAATCAGGACCAAAATGATACCTCAAAATTCTGCTGTTTCATCAGACTCGGGAAAAGGATAAGGGAAGTGTGAACAGGGAATAAATGGGTGGATTTATGTTTTCTCAAAAGGAAAAGTAAAACGTGGCATCACAAAGGTGTGCAGTTGGAATGGGGGAAAAAAATGGGCTCAGTATGAGAAAAAGTCCTGATTGTAAATTGCATGAATTTACAGAATAATCTCAGAAAGGCAGGCTTAGGGGCATTTTTATTTGGCAGTTGTAATAACGAAAGAAAAATCTTCTTCAGAAGCAGAAGACAATACTGCATTCACTGTGAGAAAACCCAGACTACCTAAGGGGTCTTTTTTTTTCTGTCAGTTCCATGAGTCAGGTAAGATTTTGTTTCCTAAGGTACAGTGGTACTAAAAATCCTAGAGTGCCTTTGAAAGCCTAAACTAGCACTAAGTGTTTCAGAGATCTTGTCCATGAACAAAAAAGACATGAAGCAGGGGATAGGGCAGTACATTATTTAAACCATGGCGTGACGTGCTTCTGCTCACTGGAGACAACTGCAATATCAGATGACAGGATAAAGGACATGCTTAAAATGTATTGAAAATTTATTAAAACTGGATTTTGGTCTTGCCATTGCTATCCGAGTTTCAGGCCAAATATTCATGAAATGTCATAAAAATCTGCTCCCCCTCCTTTACAATTTTAGTATCAAAACTGACTTTTGATTAAGGTAAGAAAAGAGGTCAAGTATTTTCTTTTCTGATAAAAAACAAAACAGAAATAAATAGAAAGGAAAGCAAGTAAATAAAAATGCAAACCTAAAACCAAAAGGGATTCACTGCATGACACTCAATTGACTACTTGAAATACAGTACCCTAATAGGAAAAGCTGTCCCAAAACATAAAGCCCTGACAAAAAAAAAATTCACAAACCAGGCACAGCAGATCTCAGAGCTGATGTAACCTCATTCAGGTCATTATCCACACACTGTGAGTAATAGGACCACACATTTTACATTTTTTAATTTCATGGAGTTTTTTTTATTTACACCCACGAAACAATCTTCATCAGGGTAAGGCTGAAAGACATTTTCCCTCTGTGGAAACCGGGATACAGGGAACTCAACTGCAGTTCACACAGACAGGTGCAGCATATTCCAACACCCTTCTCTGATGATGCAACCAGATAAATTGCATCAGCTCAGACTGTTCTCCAGCCCTATTCAAAAGGACAGATGGGATTCATTTGTCATCACCAAAAATGTCTTCCCACAGTTCTACCGGAACAGTGTAGTCCTGACCGCTACTTTTATTATCGTTACACTTGTATCTACATCGATATTTGTATATGACTTCTGTCAGAGGACCTTCACTTGTGAGAAAATATCTTTGCTAGTGTCACGGAAATGTTGCAAGGCCATCACATCCCCTTGCCTTGTTTCATGTGACAGTGAAAATATTTCGGGTTGCAAAGCAAGTTAGAAAAAATCTGCAGTTTTGCCTTTGCATCCACTTTTTTTGTACCATAACTATTCCAAGCCTAAATCAAAGCATAGTGAAGTTAGAATTCAGTCAATGAAAAAACCTCTATTTTTATTTATCACACTTCAAGTCACTGAGTTTTCATTTGAATATCTCAGTGACCTAGAGTCACTAACAAATGTCAGCTGAAGCATTCAACTAATTTTCTCAGACTGCTCAGGCTGCTTTGCACTGCAGCCAGAGCCCCTCACCACACCACCAGAGTAAATTAAATGGATATTCTTTTCTTACTTATAAGATGGAGGTCAGCTACCAGGTTGTAGATGATGCATTAGTCTTGTCTTCTCTGCTAGCTGGCAGAATACCTAATTCTGGTTTGGAAAAAAAAAAAAAAAAACAAATGTAGAAAAACAAACAAAGGGAAGACAAAAACCTGAAGAAATAACCAGTAAGCAGCACTAGATAATACACCAACAATGAAAATTTCTGCTGCTGAATCTGCTTTCACAGAACCACAGAACATGCTGAGTTGGAAGGGACCCCCAAGGATCACTGAATCCAACCCTTAGCCCTGCTTTCTTCTGTTTCACCTTTAGCTTTTTTCTCCTCTCCCACGGTATCACAAGCAGTGCAGGGGGAGGATGAAGCATCCCAAAAAGGGTGTCCAAAGATGCTTAAAATGCATATGCCTTGAGTCTTCCTCATGCCTTCCTCCAGCAGGGTTAGCCCACAGTGATTCCTGTACATTTTTCACATGGTAACCAGGGGGAAAAAAACAGAGGAAAAAGAGGCAATAATCTTTCCTTGGGCCTCCCCACGCTCCTGAGAGATGTATTTCAAGAATTCATTCTGTGTTATGGGGGAAGGAGCACAAACAGGTGCTTTTTGGAAGCAGCTGTTTTAGGAAACAGTAAGCACGAGGATGCATTTGAAATGTGACCCTGACCTACTCTGTCCTTCACATTGTGCAGGAAAAGGCTTTTATCTCCTGCAGATCTACAGCTTTTAACCCTTTCCTGAAAGAAGGGGTCTGTGACCTGGC